CATTCTGCCAAGAAGTCAAGCCCTGCTCAGGTCTTGCAAGTCAAGGCAGTCTCCGTGGTTTCTCCAGTGGATCGTATCCACTGGAATGAGATCTTTGTCCTTTCCTACTTCCTTTAACCTTCCCCTTGACCTGTCTAGAAAGCCCTGTCTTCTTCTGATGCGCCGAACCAGGACTTGGAGGGAGAGCTCTCCTCCAGCACCACGGTTCAAGGGCATGGGCTTTCTTCTGAATGAGTGGTTGGTGCAGCTGGGGATGATGGTGAGGAAGGTGGGCTAGAACAGGTAAGGATAGCAACACCCTGAGCTCCTGGAGGGGATGAGGGTCTCTGCAGCTGCAAAGAAGCTCTGCTGGGGAGGGTCTTCAGCCTCCGCTGAGCCTCCTGGTCCACTGTGAGGGGGGAGTTCCTTGGACTGAGGTCAGAGGGGCTCTCGGTGACCCTGAAGGCACTTCTGGGCTTGAGGAAAGGAGCCTCCTTAGCCAGAAAATGTGGTCAGAAGGAAATCCTGTGCAAGTCCACCTATGGAAGCCGCCAAGCATTAGGGTCTGGTGCAGAACATCCCCATTCAAGGTTGCCCATGTGCCATTCATAGAATCATAGAATCCAAGAGTTGGAAGAGACCTCCTGGGCCATCATCCAGTCCAACCCCATTCTGCCAAGAAGCAGGAATATTGCATTCAAATCACCCCTGACAGATGGCCATCCAGCCTCTGCTTAAAAGCTTCCAAAGAAGGAGCCTCCACCACACTCCCTCCGGGGCAGAGAGTTCCACTGCTGAACGGCTCTCACAGTCAGGAAGTTCTTCCTCATGTTCAGGTGGAATCTCCTTTCTTGTAGTTTGAAGCCATCGTTCCCTTGCATCCTAGTCTCCAAGGAAGCAGAAAACAAGCTTGCTCCCTCCTCCTCCCTGTGGCTTCCTCTCACATATGTATACATGGCTCTCATCATGTCTCTTCTCAGCCTTCTCATCTTCAGGCTAAACATGCCCAGTTCCCTAAGCCGCTCCTCATAGGGCTTGTTCTCCAGACCCTTGATCATTTTAGTCACCCTCCTCTGGACACATTCCAGCTTGTCAATATCTCTCTTGAATTGTGGTGCCCAGAACTGGACACAATATTCCAGGTAATGTGGTCTAACCAAAACAGAATAGAGGGGTAGCTTCTTTATGTGAGAGGCTTCCTCTCACATATTTATACATGGCTATCATATCTCCTCTCAGCCTTCACATATTTATACATGGCTATCATATCTCCTCTCAGGCATGTAGCCGGGGGGAGGGGGGGCTTGAGGGGCTTCAGCCCCCCCCCCCCAAATGCATAGAATCATAGATTTTATGAGTTTGGGGGGGGGGAGGACTGAAGGGTCTAGACCAGTGGTTCTCAACCTGTGGGTCCCCAGATGTTTTGGCCTTCAACTCCCAGAAAGCCTAACAGCTGATAAACTGGCTGGGAATTCTGGGAGTTGTAGGCCAAAACACCTGGAGACCCACAGTTTGAGAACCACTGGTCTAGACATTGGAGACTCCAAGTCCCACCATTCCTCACAGCCTCAGCCACTTAAGCAGCTGAGGAGGAAAAGGAAGGGGCCTGAGGCTCTGGGACTGGGGAGTCCAAGAGGAGGTCTTCTTTTCTGCTGCTCCAGAGACTGGGACACAACGGAGCCACGGATTAGGGTTGTGCCTGTGATTGTGTCTAATGATCAGGGTCCTCTGGATGTTGGGAGTGACAATGAGGTCTCTGTATCTAATGATGAGCTTGCTTCAGATGCAGAGAATGACAATGGGATTCCTGTTCAAAGGGATTTTTCTGAGGGGAACGTTCCTGAAGGGTTTGAGGATGACGGTCTGTTCCCCAGGCCTGAATTGCTACTAAAAAAATCCCCAAGGCTTTGAGCCTGAGAAAGGCTAGGCACTTGGACCGGCTGCAGAAATTAATGAGCCAGTAGTTAGGAGGAGTGCTTTCAGTCAGCAAAGACAAACAAACCAGGCTCTCAGCCACTCTGCCAGATTGCAGGAGAGACTGATCGCAGATTCAAAGCTGAGAAGAAATCCTTTCCTGGATGCTTGGGATATAGAATAGATTAGGGGATAAAAGTGCCAAGTACGGAATCTGTAGCCAGACGAAGCAACGTTGGAATGGAGTCAAGACATCGTCTCAGGTCCCTGGAAGCCTTGCCTTGGATAGATTCCTGTATTACGTACCTTGTTATTTCCATGCTGAAGTGCCTGGTTTGATTCATGCTCAAGTTTTGGGGTTTTGTCTTAGAAGTTCCTGTATTTGTTATCGTGAACTCTGATGGACTGATTTCCTGGACTTGTTGTTATTACCTATCTTTTCTACCTAACTGGATTTACCTATTTTTGTGAATTGCTTTTTTACTGTCACTGTTTTGAGTTGGCCACAGTGGTCCATGCTCTTGTTACATCCCGATTGGATTACTGCAACGCACTCTACGTGGGGTTGCCTTTGAAGACTGCTCGGAAACTCCAACTGGTCCAGCGGGAGGCAGCCAGATAGCTCACCGGAGCGACATACAGGGAGCACACCACCCCCCTGTTGTGTCAGCTCCACTGGCTACCGATCCAGTTCCGAGCACAATTCAAAGTGCTGGTTTTGACCTACAAAACCCTATACGGTTCCGGCCCAGTGTATCTGTCCGAACGGATCTCCCTCTACGTCCCACCTCGGAACCTAAGATCTTCCGGGGAGGCCCTGCTCTCGACCCCGCCTATCACAAGTGAGATTGGCGGGGACGAGGAGCAGGGCCTTCTCGGTGGTGGCCCCCCACCTGTGGAACTCACTCCCCGGGGAGATTAGATCGGCAACGTCCCTTCTTTCATTTAGGAAAAAGTTGAAAACCTGGATATGGGACCAGGCATTTGGACATCATGGCAGCTAAAGAAAGACCTGATGACGAGCTGGAATTTGACGAGACGGAATGGATTTACGAAACTCCGAACGCTGAGCTCAGGATTAGTCTACTACTGTGTTACTGTATTGTTGTGTAGTGATGTTTTTAATTTTTAATGTGTAATTGTTTAATTTGCTTATATATGTATGTATATGTGACAAAGGCATCGAATTGTGCCTTCCTCTGTAAGCCGCCCTGAGTCCCCCCCCCCCCCGGGGGTGAGAAGGGCGGGAATAAATAAATAAATAAATATTTAACTAATAGGCCTGTGCGATTTCGTTCGTTAATTCGTTAATTCGTTAATAATTTGTTAATTTTACCATTTCCGAAGCGATATTGAAACATATTTCCAAACCCGGAAGGGTTTATAAATATCGAACCAGCAGCCCCCATAGTATTTACGAGCCTCCGCTCGTTTCGTTAATGGGGTGGAGGCTGCTGGAGTGCTGGTGCATGGGAGCCAATCCGGCGCTCCCAAGCAGTGCACCATGGGTCCGTGGCTGTCCCTTTTTGATTGGCCGGCAAGCCCTTTCAAAGCGGCTCCGCGCGGCCCGTAGCTTGGTGCAGAGGCGAGGGCGAGGGAGTTTGCATTGGGTTGGCTTGGCAATGGCTGCTAGCAACTGGGATTGGATTCATTCCTTGCTGCTGTGAGTGCTGCTTGCTTCATTTGCTGTCTCTGCCTGTGTTTGGTCCACATTTGGGCCATTTTTTGGTTAATTTTCCATTTTAAAATATTTTTAATATTATTTTAATATTATTTTTATATTACTATTATTTTTAAAAAATATTCTAAAAAGAAAAGACTCTTCTGTTGGTGTGTGCTCTCATTTGCTGTATCCTGCCTGTGTTTGGTCCACATTTGGGCCATTTTTTGGTTAATTTTCCATTTTAAAATATTTTTTAATATTATTTTAATATTATTCTTAAGAAATACCAAAAATATTCTAAAAATTCGTTAATATTTACAAAATTTCTTAAATACCAAAACTTTTTTTTGGAAAGTTTTGTAATTATTTTAAATATCGAAACAAAAAAACACCCCAATTACAAATCGATTTTAGAAACAAATTTTTTCTTGATCAAACAGGCCTAATATGTACCTCTATGTACAATTGTCTGGATTTCAGGAAAAGAGATTCCACCTAAACATTGGGAAGAACTTCCTAACCGTGTTTAGCAGCGGAAAATGCTGTGGGTGGAGCCTCCTTCCTTCTTTGGAGGTTTCGAACCAGAGGGTTGGGGAGGGCTCTGACTGGGAGCTTCTGCCTGGCAGGAGGGACTGGGTGGCCTCTGGGGGTCTCTTCTTCCAACTTTATAATTCAGTCAGTTCTTGTGGGTTTTTTCGGGCTATATGGCCATGTTCTAGAGGCATTTCTCCTGACGTTTTGCCTGCATCTATGGCAAGCATCCTCAGAGGTAGTGAGGTCTGCTGGAACTGGGGAAAAAGGGGTTTATATATCTGTGGAATGACCAGGGTGAGACAAAGGGCTTTTGTAAGTTGGGCTGGGTGTGACTCTTTCAGCTGACCACTTTGATTAGCATACAATGGGCTGACTGTGCCTGGAGCAAAACTCTTCTTGAAAGGTGATTAGATGTCACAACCACCATGTCAGACTACACAGAGAAGCCATTGAAATCCACAAACATGTGGACAATTTCAACAGAAAGGAAGAAACCAGGAAAATGAACAAAATCTGGCTACCAGTATTAAAAATCTCTAAAGTTGCAACAGCAAAAACAGCAGAGAGGAAACAACCAGGCACATCTAATCACCCTTCAAGAAGAGTTTGCTCCAGGCACAGTCAGCCCATTGTATGCTAATCAAAGTGGTCAGCTGAAAGATTCACACCCAGCCCAACTTACAAAAGCCCTTTGTCTCACCCTGGTCATTCCACAGATATATAAACCCCTTTTTCCCCAGTTCCAACAGACCTCTCTACCTCTGAGGATGCTTGCCATAGATGCAGGCGAAACGTCAGGAGAGAATGCCTCTAGAACATGACCATACAGCCCGAAAAAACCCACAAGAACTGAGTGATTCCAGCCATGAAAGCCTTCGACAATTTATAATTCAGTGATTCCACGCCACGGTCTGGTCCCACTTGTGTCCTTTATTCAACCGGAGAGGGTGAACACTCAGGATCAACGCAATCAGAAATCCCCTTTCTGTTGGGCACCTATGGCGAAACAGTTCAGAGGCTGCCCACCCGCCCCCTCCCAGTTCCTCCCAGTTGCCCCACTTCAAAGGCCCCCCTTCTGCAGCACATCTAGCCCAGCATGGAGAGAAACCAGCGGAGCAGCCCTTCTCCCGACGCGCCAAAGTCTCAACAGGGACGGAGAAGGAGGAAAGGGCAGCGGAGGAGGCCTTGAGACTTCCACCAACGACCTCGATCTCCGGAGAGACTCCACGCCTGATTTCGACCCATGTGCAAAAGTCCAAAGGCAGCAGCAAGGACGCCTCAAAGTTCATTGTGCTGAAGGCCTCGAGAGATCCTGCCAGAGATGTCCTGAAGGTGCTTCTTGACCTGAGGGCAGAGAGGAAACCCCAGGCGTTACTCCCGCTGGAAATAGCAACCTTCTACAAGCCTCCTATACTATTTCTTTATTTACCTTGCTTATATACCGCTGTTCTCAGCCCGAAGGCGACTCACAGCGCTTCACAACAACAAGAGACAGCAGAATGCAATGTTACAGTATAAAAGCAGTTATCAACTTAATACAGTTGCACAATTAATAAGCAATAAACAATTAACAATTGCTACAATAGCCATTCACTATCGTCTCGTCACCAAAACATGATCCAGATTCGTCATCCAATGATCCATTCCAGTGTTCGTTAACCAAGTTACTAGTTAATGGTTGTGTATATAATTCTGAACTCAAGAACGGGAAAAGGAATGTTGGAGGACAGGAAAAGAGATTTCAAGATGGGCTCAAAGCCAACCTTAAAAACTCTGGCATAGACACCGAGAACTGGGAAGCCCTGGCCCTTGAGTGCTCCAGCTGGAGGTCAGCTGTGACCATCAGTGCTATAGAATTTGAAGAGGCACGAATGGAGGGCGAAAGGGAGAAGCATGCCAAGAGGAAAGTGCCCGACCGGGACCGCCTTCCACCTGGAAACCAATGCCCTCACTGCGGAAGAAGATACAGAGCAAGAATAGGGCTCCACAGCCACATACGGATCTACCCCCAGGATACCACTTTTGGAGGCCCATCATCCTCGGACTACGAGGGATCGCCCAAGTAAGTAAGTAATAATTCAGATTGCCTACTGTATTGTATAGGTGTGCACTGGCATGCAGTTTTCCTTAACTCTAGGGTTGTGGGAGGGGCTGCAGACCATGTGACCAGATCTGGGATTGTTCAGGACTCAGACTCCATTTTAGAAGTCAGTAGAAACAGAATACTCTATTAGACTCTCAGAACAGGGAGATGCTTGACATGTTTATGTTAAGATTCTAAGAAAGATGCCCTGTGTTATTTGCATGGAGGAACTGTTTCAAATCCTACCTGTAACTGAACTGATATGCAAAGTCTCTGTACGCTGAGTACATGAAGTTTGTGAGTAAACCAACTATGTTACTTATAAACAAGTCTGCTTATTTTTGGTCTCTTGAGAGCATGATTTAAACCAAGATGTTTTAAGGGAGAGTAGATGTTTTTGGGCAATTGAAATTTTTACCCCGCCCTTCTCAACCCCCTAGGGGGGACTCAGGGCGGCTTCCAGCCGGCACATATTCAATGCCTACAATTAAACACAATAAAATACACAACAAACAGTAATTATAAATAGTTAAAACATTAAATAGTACAATAAAACCTACTAGAAAAGAAAACCAGTCTGGTGGCAACTGTCTTGCCGAATTCTGTAATTAGAGACTCCATTCAGCTTGTCCATAATCCGTTTCCATAGTTATTGTCATCATTGTCCTCGTCAAGTCTGCAAGATTACCCAAAGGCCTGGTCCCACATCCATGTTTTTAATTTCCTTCTAAAGGAGAGGAGGGATGAAGATGACCTAATTTCCCCGGGGAGTGAATTCCACAGGCGGGGGGCCACCACCAATCTGGCCCAGTTTACCTGTCCGAACATATTCTCCCCTATGAACCATCAAGAGTGTTAAGATCGTCTGGAGAGGCCCTGCTCTCGGTCCCGCCATCTTCGCATGCGCGTCTGGTGGGGACGAGAGACAAGGCCTTTTCTGTGGTGGCCCCTCGGCTATGGAATTCCCTCCCGAATGAAATTAGATCTGCCCCCTCCCTCCTGACCTTTAGGAAGCTAGTGAAAACCTGGCTGTGCAACAAAGCTTTTGCAGAATGATGTCTGAGACCGGCAATCGACTAATGGTACTGATCACAATATATGGACTGGACATACGGACTGAGTTGGACACGATTTTATCCTGGCGAACGGCTTTTATGTAATTTTATGTAATTTATGTAATGTAATTGGTAACTTAATGTTGTGTATTATGTTTTAGATTTTCAGTGTTAGCATTGAATCTTTGCTGTTAGCCGGTCTGAGTCCCTCCGCAGAGGTAGAGAAGGTTGGGATAGAAAAGCTTTAAATAAATAATAAATAAGGCCCCGTCCCTTGTCCCCGCCAGTCTCGTTTGTGACAAGGGTGGGGCCGAGAGCAGGGCCTCTCCAGAAGATCTTAAATTCCTGGGCGGAACGTAGAAGGAGATACGTTCGTATGGGAAACTCTGCTATATATACCTTTTGTGCACTGGCATATCTTTGTCCCTAACAGTTCAAAGAGATATCTCGGTACATCAGTCTAACAGCTGAGAAACCTAATTGCCTTGTGGATATTTACTAGGCCTGTGCGATTTGGTTCGTTAATTCGTTAATTCGTTAATAATTCGTTAATTTTACCATTTCCGAAGCGATATTGAAACAAATCTCCAAACCCGGAAGGGTTTATAAATATCGAACCAGCAGCCCCCATAGTATTTACGAGCCTCCGCTCGTTTCGTTAATGGGGTGGAGGCTGCTGGAGTGCTGGTGCATGGGAGCCAATCCGGCGCTCCCAAGCAGTGCACCATGGGTCCGTGGCTGTCTCTTTTTGATTGGCCGGCGAGCCCTTTCAAAGCGGCTCCGCGCGGCGCGGCCCGGCTCATTGCTGCAGAGGGCGAGGGAGTTTGCATTGGCTTGGCTTGGCTAATGGCTAGCAACTGGATTGGATTCATTCCTTGCTGCTGTGAGTGCTGCTTGCTTCATTTGCTGTGTCCTGCCTGTGTTTGGTCCACATTTGGGCCATTTTTTTGGTTAATTTTCCATTTTAAAATATTTTTTAATATTATTTTAATATTATTTTTTAATATTATTTTAATATTATTTCTTAAAAAATATTCTAAAAAAGAAAAGACTCTTCTGTTGGTGTGTGCTCTCATTTGCTGTATCCTGCCTGTGTTTGGTCATTTTTTGGTTAATTTTAATATTATTTTAAAATATTTTTTAATATTATTTTAATATTATTTTTTAATATTATTTTAATATTATTCTTAAAAAATATTCTAAAAAAGAAAAGACTCTTCTGTTGGTGTGTGCTCTCATTTGCTGTATCCTGCCTGTGTTTGGTCATTTTTGGTTAATTTTCCATTTTAAAATATTTTTAATATTATTTTAATATTATTTTTTAATATTATTTTAATATTATTCTTAAAAAATATTCTAAAAAAGAAAAGATTCTTCTGTTGGTGTGTGCTCTCATTTGCTGTCTCCTGCCTGTGTTTGGTCCACATTTGGGCCATTTTTTGGTTAATTTTCCATTTTAAAATATTTTTTAATATTATTTTAATATTATTCTTAAGAAATACCAAAAATATTCTAAAAATTCGTTAATATTTACAAAATTTCTTAAATACCAAAACTTTTTTTTGGAAAGTTTTGTAATTATTTTAAATATCGAAACAAAAAAACACCCCAATTACAAATCGATTTTAGAAACAAATTTTTTCTTGATCAAACAGGCCTAATATTTACCACTAAGGAGAAGGTTGACTCAAGCGAGTTTTTAACTCTTCTCAGGGAGATTCCTGAATTTCCCCAAATGGTTATGAATGCCATTTTCCAAAAGGTTATGGAGATTTCCATTTCCCAAAAATTCCATTCGTTCCTATCTGCTTTTGTCTGAGGGAGAGGCACCGCTGGAGCAGCCACACTGGTCTCTTGCACAACTCAGGCAAGGAATATTGTTAACTGTGCATTTTAAGTGGTGCTGTGAAGGAGTTTAATCCCATATTAACGTTGCTTCATGGAATGCTCGCTTTAGGACATCAAGGGCTGTTGTGGCACCTGAGAGAGACAATGAAGTGGGCAGCAGGAAGGCGCATCTACACTGCTGAATGGGTGCAGCTTGACTTCCTTGCCTCAATGCTATGTGTGATGATTCTTACCTCGCAGGCCAAAGTAGGAGCCTGAAATGTCAGTAAGCAGGCCTCCATTTTGAGAGTGTAAGTGAGGGAGGCAGACATCTTGGGAGGGTAAGAGTAGAAGACGGGAGGAGCTGGAGCTCTCTCTGGATTGGAGAAAGGGGGAGATTGATTTTGGGCTTTGAAGGAAGAGGGTGATTTTTTGGGAACAGAGTAGAGAGGCGGATTTTTGGTGAGCAAAGGTTTTTTACTGCCAGAGGGCATTGGGGACAGGCGATTCTACATTTATTTGGCCAGGAGGGTCAAAGTAGACGCCTGTGTGCTTGTGTTGGATTTATTACACAAGTGGTTTGCTCTCTGGGGTCAGAGTAGTTTAGCTGTTAGAGAACTCTGCCTAGAGTGTAGCTATTTGCTCTGGGGACAACCGGGTTAGGTTTGTCTGGGGAACTCCCTGCTACTGTGTCAGGGTAGAGTGAGGAGTCTTGCTCATAACTAAGTTAAGAAACCCGTTTAAGTAACCATTAAGAACATTGAGCCCCTGCCACCATTCAAACTTGTGCGCCTCGTTACAGAAGATAGTTGTTTGTTCAAATATATTAATAAGCATTTCTCTAGTTCAGCTTTTAAGCAGCCTCAGTAGTGGTTCATTCTGTGAGGATAATTCCAGCGGTTTTTAACATCTTTACATCTCCAGTCATTTCAGAGAGCCAAAGGGAGAGCTGGTGGGCAGGAAGGGATTTACCTCAGGGACAACATCTCTAGTATTCCCAAATTACTTTGGGTGGTGGCAGCAACTCTATCAGAGTATACACATTACTTCAACAATCATCTAAACCAGTGTTTCTCAACCTGGGGGTTGGGACCCCTGAGGGGCCCCTGGAGGGGTCGCAAGGGGGTGTCAGAGGGGTCACCAAAGACCACCAAAAAACACAGTATTTTCTGTTGGTCATGGAGGTTCTGTGTGGGAAGTTTGGCCCAATTCAATCATTGGTAGGGTTCAGAATGCTCTTTGATTGTAGGTGAACTATAAATCCCAGCAACTACAATTCCCAAATGTCAAGGTCTATTTTTCCCAAATTCCACCAGTGTTTACATTTGGGCATATTGAGAATTCATGCCAAGTTTGGTCCAGATCCATCATTGTTTGAG